ACAAAACAAAGTGGAGTTAGAATACATATCAGACACACAAGCTGGAAAGCATGTAAGTTACACAAAGCAGTTTTTACTGGTTTTTAACAAGCTTAATGTGTTAGGAAATTCAAAGTCATGGTCTTAAAAAGGAATTTAATCAAAAGTTTTGATGCCAAACAAGATTATGAAACTTTGAGATGTGATAAGTTTTGTTTCCATCTTCTATACCTGTTCTGAATATCTTAAGCGAATTAGCCCTACTGGCAAATATCGCCGCTCTTGTAAACTGGCCTCTGTTGCTTGATTGCTTTTGAAAGCTTAGCCTCATCTCAAAGAGACTCACCAGCTTTATTTACATATTTGAGATTTGAGTGGCCAACGTGGAGAGTCAGACTGTGATTGTTAGCTTACCTATAATCATTTGGCAGAAAATTTAATTGGACGTTTTGAGCTAAGTAATGGCTGCAAGGGGCCTAAAATCCTGTGCTTAAAGGATTACACTGTACATTAGTGGGTATTGAGCCACTTTTCAGATGATTGTTAACCTCTAATTGATGCACTCTCTCTCTCAAGTACACAGTATGTAGATGGTCTTGTTTGGGAGTGACTTGGAGGTTTAACCTAATTTTAAGCATCAGTCTGTTTCAAAATAATGTTTGTGTAATCTGTGACACTTTATATTACAGTGAGGTTGTCTTTGGAAAAATGGCTAGGCTCTACTCATTTGGAATTTTGGTTGTATTATACTTTGTTTTTGGGTATTCTGAAGGCATGTACTTCTCACTTCCCACTCACTTTGAATATTGTCACAGCTAAGTTGTGAACACCTCCAAACCTTTACAGTGTATAATTGAATCTGAACTGCACCTGCTTCTTCCTTCATTTGCATGTAAATATGGATTTTAATTTGATGCTATGTATTGTTTTTTGTCACTTAGTTGTTCATTAAATAGAGCTCATGTCATTCAGCTGCACAAGACTTTTCTTTTCATTGGAAAATCAAAGAGAACATGAACATCAGTTTATCATTTGCTAATCTGCTTCTGTCTTTGTCCTCTTCTACATAAGCACATAAACAAGATAATAAAGAGAGAAGCCATATAAAGCAGTCATTTTTAAAGATGGTAAGGGCTCTGTATAACACAAAAGACTCATACCCTAAGGATGTTTTTTTCTTTCAAATCTCCACCAGCACAGTTTCATTTTATGACAATATGACATATGCTTGTGTTTTTGTTTTTTCAGGTCGTTCATTCAAGCCAAGCTGCTGCAAAGCCCAGAAATCTCTGGAGTTTATCCCAATAAACTTGCACACCCAGAGGATGAGGGTGACATGCCCCAGAAAAACAGGTATGATTCAGGTGTTTGACCTGAATTTGGTAGTGCAGTTTTCATTTAAAGTGCAGCTTCCAAAACATATGACACACATTTCTAAAAGCAGAAGCTGCTGTGGTTGTCATCTGCTGTTTATCTATGCCTGATCTGTCATAATGTAGATAGTCTGTGCACTCAAACAGGGTGTTTTTAGGCCATCACTCACATTGAAAGGTGAGATTTAATTTGTCCTGAGAAAGGTAGACAAAACGCTAATTAAGCCCTTTGCGTTTTTCCAGAGAGAAAGATTAGACTGTCTCCCCGACCGCTGCTCTCTGGCTGGCAGAGCCTGTTATTGCCCTGGAACTGTCTCAGTGTATTAAGGCGATTAATTGCTGCCTCGGTATCTGTGAGTGGGCTGCATTTCAACTACACACTCTGTGATTGATAGAAAGTTATAGACTGACAAACCTTGACAAAAACTGTGGTTCTTTCAATGAAGACATCAGGGATAATAGATAAAATAAGTAAAATCAAGCCATCATACAATACTGCTATTGTTTTGCACTGTCAAGTAAAAGGGGGTAAGTCAAGATCAACAGATAATGCAACACCAAACTTATTTTTGGATATGAAACCTAATTGTAATACGTATTTTTACATTGTAGACTAGATTCTATTTATAAGTGTTTTCAGTTTCACAACTGTGTGCCATCTTTTTAAACATATTTAAAGTAGCGGTGCATGGTCTTAGTGCATGGTGCTAGAGCAGAAAGATAAAGAGTAAGAATTTTTTGTCTTACTGATATTTCCAAAAATACATTTTTACTATATTAATAATAAGAACACATACAACATCCAGGTGACCCAGTGATTGAGATGCACATGATATAAGGGCAACATCCCCATTTGATAGGCCAGCGACCTTTGTTGCAGGTCATTTACCTCCCTGACTTTCTGCCTGTGTTTTAGGTCTGTATCTTAACTATAATTTATTCAATACAGGCAACAATGCACACACACACAGATGACATGTGTTCCCAGTCCTAAATGCAACCTGAATCTTCATAACTATGTGAAGCATACCAGACATGACTAAGGCAACACTGGCACACACAGAATGGTGGAACGTCAGCACAACCTCAGACTGTTCCCTCAGATCCTCTGTGCAGGTGCCATGACCAGCCAGTTTCAAACCCTCACCAGAAAATTAAAACAGAACCAGCTAAGAGTGAAATGGGAATGAAATCTCAATTTGAGACTATCTACAAGTTTTTATTTGCTATAACAACCTTGCCTGGCATTTTGCTCAATTTAAAAAGGAAACACACTAAATAAATTATTACAGTCAGGCAATAATTGGAGCTGATTCTCAAATTTCCAGCCACAATCAGTTGCTCTATTGTTCCATTTGAATTCCTGAAGTGATGGATTTTCCTGAGTTTGATTATGCAATCCACTAGACTAGTCTACACTGAGCCACTCATTTTCATTTTGTCTGTTGATAATTCAGAAAGAAAAGGAAATCGGGCGCCCGGTGAAAAACACTTGGAGCTCAAAACAGTATTCATTTGTTTTGCTGGGGATGGCTGTCTTCTGTCTCTAAATGACAAGTGCAAAATATTTCCAGCCTAAGCTGGAAGCTCATTGTGACAAAGCTAAATGTTAAGCATTGTTCAGCTCTCTTTTGGGTTAAGTAAAATAATGTTTTGTCATTGTTAAACAAGACTGTATAATGGGTTACATGTGAATTATAGCCACTCATCCTGACTGCCGCAGTGAGTTTCTTCTTTTAGAACACAACAGTCCTCTCACTGCCTAAACGGCTTGTTCTGTTGTTGATTTACTGTAAAAAGGATGGTGTTAGAGAAAGAGCAGGCAAATCAAGCACAAATTGGGTGTTGTGCTTGATGTTCTGAATCCCACTATTGTATTTCAGTGTTTCTGCTGAGGGAGAACCAATTAAGGGAACCTGGACATGTGAAGACTCCACGGACCAAACATGTGGCGAGCAGGGAGCATCATGGGCAGGCACAGGGATAATTAATGGAAGAAGCAGTGGGTAGTAGCGAATCGCCAACATCAAACCACTAATTGTGGTGTTTTTAGAGAACAGGAGGCTGTTGGTCACATCATTCACATCTCTCTGGCAACACTTGGAGCTATGTTGTGTCATTAATTTCTATTTTCAACAGTTTTTCAGGCAGACTTTATCAATGGCCGGAGCTGTGCCCTATTGTTTTCCCAGGGGTGTTCATTAACTGACCTGGCACTAAACTGCACCGAAATATTCAACCCCATAGCGCCTTGTTCAACCCCTTTCTCTCCTCCCTGTTTTCTGATTTAATTGTCAGCTTCATCAATTACTTATTCAAAACAAGGCCTGTTGTAAGCACCTCTGTGCATGCCTAGCCATCTGTGAAGTGTTTATTTATTTTTGACGGTGGTGTGAAAATTGGAATGAAGTGCTGTGACATTGGCCTTCCTTCTGGTTCAACATGGGACCAACACCACATTAAAGAGATGGCTAAAGACAGAGAGAGGACTGCTAATAGAGCAATATAGAGAGAATAAATCAACCTCCAATATGTATGCCTGAAATCAGATATGCTTGTAGCAGAGTGTCACACCTCTTTTGTATGCATCCATAACACATCTGTTAATGCATAAATATCGGTTGTGGATGTTTATTACACATTTGCAGGAACACCTCCTCCTTTCACATTTTAATGTGAAAATGCCTTGAAACAAAGCTGCATGGTTTATTAATAAATACTGAATCAATCCTTGTAGTGTCCGCTATTATTCACTGGTAACGTCTGTGGTGGCAGTCACACTTATTACAGATGTTTCTGCAGATGGTATTTTTAAAGAATTCTGATTTGAACTTCAGCTTATTTTAATTTGAAAACCTTACTTTGACTGGGATCATGTACAGTATTTCCTTGAATCATATTTTTTTCACCTCAAGGTCCTCCAGTGTTTCCAAGGTGACGTATTAAACATCTCAGTATTTTAAATCCTATCACCTCTTTTTTGTCTTTGTACAGATGCATTTTATGACATCATCACTGTTGGTGCCCCTGCAGCCCACTTTCAGGGCTTCAAGTGTGGTGGTCTGCAGCGTCTCCTTAGCAGATATGAAGCAGAGAAAAAAAGGTAGGACACACTGTTGCATCATTGAGGCTGTTTAGAAGCAGCATGGGTGATTTAATACTGGACACATGCTGAGATGAAAACACTCCTGTATTAACAAAAGAATTGTAGTGGCAGACAAATTTGTCCCCCGTCTATGGGCTTGGTTTTCCCAGCCCCATACAGTTACTTACTACCAAGCCATGCTGAATTTATACAGGAACTCCACTGACTCTGACAGCTCAATTTGACTGGAGGCAACAGGCATGATGGAAAAGGTGTGTTCAGTCAATTTCTCTCCACCGGTTCTTTTCTCTAGTAGGCTTTTTTTTTCCTTTCTCCTTTTTGAAGCCGTATGCTAACATCTCACTGAAAAACCAGACTAAGGTTTAAGAATAGGCCAAATTCTAAGATGATATAATGATTGGTATTAACGTGGTTACATCAAAAAGTATGAGATGTGTACTGTAGTAGTACAGAGGACACCCAGACAAGAATCCATCAATGAATGCCAGATGAATCTACAATAAGCACTTCAATAATCAATAATGATTCGTCCTACACATTTCACAAGGAGTCCCTAATCTGAAAAACTACTATTTCCTATAAGAAAAATTATGAGTAATGTGCCAAGATGTCTGAGCTATGCACTGGTGTATGGAAAGTGTCTTAATTATGCATTTGGGGAATATTAATCTGAATTATTACACACAACTGATTTAATCACTTGGTCTGGGATATGGCTTAGTAGTTATAAGTAATAACACTTATGCAGGATTTCTCTTTGTGACCTTCCATATAAAGTTTTCTTAACCAGAAGGTTTTCTCTTATGGGGTCCATTGGGTGCATTCAGCTTTAGCAAGTTCAAAGATGATTGTTCTGATAGCAGTATGAGGATTTTCTGTTGGTGTAGTTTTAGAATAATTATGGTTTTATTCTCTTAGTAGCATGGTGGTATGTGGTCAAGGAAGGCAAGAGCATAAAAGTCATCCAAAGTTAAGCTCTTTTCTTTTATCTGTGTCGCCTCACCGTTCGATCCTCCCATTGTGTTGCTTGTAAATCCTGTCAGTGTGACAAAGAATTGTCATTTGTTTGCACCTTTGTGCTTCTCTAATGTCTTTTAAAGCAGACATAATAAGAACGTTGTTCTTGTTGAGAGACATCTTTGATTGTTAAATATGGATTAAGTCTAGTGAATAAGAGTCTGATTGATCTGCATCTGTGGAGTAGGTTCACTGCTGGTGATGGGGGTGTGTGAGGTGCTGACTGGTGGCATGTGGCTTTTTCCCCATCTCCAGTGGCTTCACTCAGACCAGTGTTAAAACTAGAGTTATTTTGTGAGCTGCTCTCCCTGACACACAGGGAGTCTCTCAGGAATTTTATATTAGATTGAGTTCAGTCTGTGGCTGTGAAGCAGCTTTCTGCTTGATTGCTTGATGGAAAAAATATGTCTTGTGTGTTTCCTTCATTGACCAATACAGCTGCTTCCAAAAACGCTCATGGTTGACTGAATAAAATGAGACCATACTACTGTGTATGTGGTATTAAACACACAGGAATGCAAAGATAAACATGTATGCAAGCTCACTCTAATATATCTGCATGACTTTTTTCAATCAAATTTTGCTGTCTTTGCCCTTTAGATGCACCATAGAAGTACTGTATATGTTGCTAATGTTCAGTATGTGGTCTCCTGAGTGATGCCAGAAGAAATGAAGGGTGATTTTTCCCAAAGCTCCCTTTAGAGTACAAAGTCATTACAGATTGTGCCAGATCCAATTAGTTACAGAGTTTGCAGCTCAAAAAGAAGGGATGGAGAGGGGTGAGGTGCAGGTATAAAATGGATAAGTTGATGGGAAAACAGTTGAGTATGCTGATAATAAAAAATGAAGAAAAGACTTCTTTACGCTAAATTGAACAAGTAAATTTGCTGAACATGGTCAGTTTTATCTGCTAGCATGGTAAGGTTAGCAAATTTTTGAGAATCCACTGAAGTGAAATCATTTCCTTTGAATGAGAGATTAGACTTAAGAAAGAATTCCCCAGGGAGTTGGATCTTTTTGTTTCATATTTGACTTAGCTAATGACTCACTGTAGCTTAAATTTTCCAATTTTCCACATGGCTAACTGACTACGGCCTGAGCCGAACCTTATCCATGTTTGACCTGGTGTGCAATCATTTGTTAGTCATCAGAACAGGATAAACTCAGTTTCATTGTGAATTCACTGATTAAGCTAAAAATCAAGTACATCCATTATTTTATTGTTTAATTTGCCTGTATTGTGCATGCGCCAAATATCTGACCAAATATTTAGCCTAGAAGGGCCTAATGAGTTGTTTTCTGTGTGTGTGAATGTGAAGTACTGTAGTCCAGTTGAGTGTTGCTTAATTGCATGTCAGGTCAGCCTATTTCAGCAGAGCAAAACCTCACGTGCGCACATACACACACACACATTGTGTCTCTCATTATGCTTCTTCCAGTATGTCTCCTCGCCTTTCAGAAGCAGCCTTTTGCAGTCACATTTGATTAAAAAAGGAACAATCGGTGAGATGTGAGACTTGGCTATTCAGTGTGATATTAATTCATCAAAGAGAAAATGGAAAAGGTTTGAGGAAAGAAAAAAAGCCAGAGCATAGAGGTGTTACCAGGAGGGCAATAAAAGAGCTATTTGTCTTTGTTCCCTGGACACTAGAAGTGAGGGAGGGGGTTCTAGGTCCAGTCAAAACCTGCGTTGGCCAAACTTGGCAATGACTAGAGTATGCAATGTACTTTGTCTCTCAGGATGGCCAAGGAAAGAGTTTAATCAATAGCTACACTTAGTATTCCTTTGGAAACCCTGCACATGTACACGCAGGGCAAGAGCATTTATCTTTCATTAATGCATGCAGTCCCACTTAAATGGCTGTTTTAAAAGTCACTGGATTTTTATCTGTCTTTAATTGAACCCTATAGACATAGCTGTGGATTTGCTGAGGTGATCTAATCTTTCATTAACAGCCTCTTTTGAATTATTCAGCTAAGCTGCATAATGATGCAACACACATTTGTGGAGATGGATTTTATGGAACCTGAACGCCGCCAAATGTTTCCTACACATATGTAGGAGATATAGTATGTTATTGGGTGCAGTTTGCCTGCAGTCTGAGGTTAGCTGGTGCAGAGGCTGTGCAGTAGAGCTCCTCTCTACATGTCTTTGAATTTTGTCCACCATAACAGAGAGGAGGGAAGCACTGTCATGTTGCCAGGCCTCCTGGTCAAGCAGAGCTGCCGGATGACAGGTTTCTGGGACACAGTGGTTGAAGCTACTGTACACCACACACATTTAATAAAGTCTCATGGGGCCGATGTTCTGATTTAATGTGACTAGCAGCATGCTGTCCAACAAAATAACTCACTCCCAGGATTACAGTGTGTGTGTGTGTGTGTGTGTGTTTGAGGAACAGGACATCGGCAGTAGCCTGGACTCTGTGCTGAAAGACACGGCTTATTAGTTCTTTGCCTGCTCTGGAGTCAGTGTGCTCGAGGTTCTCGGAGTGATAGAATGGGACACTGGCAGCAGCCTTAAGGCTTATCTGGTTTCAGATCAGGGTTTCTAGCTGAGGAAAACCTTGGCTGTTACACTGAGAACTGATGTGAGACCAGTACCCACTGGAAGATTCAACACCAGATGGGGATTGGCAGTTAAAAGAATTTTGTTTGAGATCAGATCTTTCCGCATGTTTTTATAGCAGACTGTATATTTTTACTGTGGCAGTGGCCTGGTGTTAGAGCCATGATTAGAGCATGTTGTCTAAATGACAGAGGAGGCTTTAGTAGTCACCTGGAGTGCTGCAGGGCTCTCTGCTGGCATAGCTGCATTTTACCCCCGTTGGCTGTCAGCAGCAGGCCACATGCTCTCCATTAATTTCCTCTCCACCATTAATTAGCCATACGCTGGAGATGCTGCCTTAATTGCACTGCTGGGTCCAGCAGTTTTCTCCCTCTTATTACTGTTATAACCGATTTCTATTAATTTTTTAGGAAAACTAGACAGTAAGTTCATCTTGGGCATACTGCTAGATTTACTGACCTTTAGCTGCTTTGAGCCTTTTTCCTGGAGATCCAGTGCTGTTTGTCTGTGGGAAACTTGAGTTATAAGAATATGAAAACTAATCATTTCATGAGTCAAAGTGCCCATGTGAAGCACAATCAAGTGTACTGTGCACATTGTGCAGAGGGAGTGGTTGCACACCTTTGGTATTTTCATGGCTAGAGGCACACGTGGAAATGAGTTAGGATTTACAAAAATCCATTATCATACATTATTAGTGAGTGTGTTGGAGTCTGGCAGTAATTCTTTCTAATAATGATTTACTGACACCATTTAAAGGAGTCTGGAGAACTTCACCTGATCTCATAGAACAGGGGTGGGCAAGTCCCATCTTCAAGACGTACCGCCCTGCTTATTTTCTAACTATCCCTGCTCTACCCACTGCTGATTACTTGGATCAGGTGTGTTCAGTCAATCATAAGCTGGAAGATACCATTTTAGTTGAAGGTGGAGTGAGGAAAGACAAAGTGAATTGGTATCTTCTGATTGGACAAACCTTCTGTGACGTCACCCGTTGGTTTTCTGAAAAGCAGTTTTGAAGCTCAAGTCTGGCCATTGCCATATTGGTAGCACTTCAGGCCACCTGCTACATCTATACCAAAAATGGGTAAAGAGGGGGAGTGTAAGTGGAGCTCACTACACAGCTAACAGCTATCCACCTGTGGTGGGACCCTCCTGCTTGTCACTCAAAGCAGACCTGCATGGTTAAAACACTCAAAAGCCTTATAACTGATTGGGCCTTATTTGTCGCTATAGGGGAAAGCAAAAATAAAGTTAACTGCTGTTATACTGCATGTATGCAAATGTAAAATATTGAGTCTCTTAGGCCCTTTGGCATACGCAAATATTCATGACTAGGCTGCAGACAGTTTACATTGTTGCTGCTCACATTCATAACATGAATGTGAGCACATTCATAAACATTCATACACTGGTCGTACACAATGGAAAGCAATGCCTGGTGCAAATGAAAAAATAATCTTTTTTTTTTTAAACAAACTTCTGTGTCACTAAGCTTATACTCAAAGTATAAAGAGCCATCTGACCTTTTCTTTCCAAAGGAAAATGACACCTTTTGTCATTGCTACAGATAATATAACACTGTAAGGCAAGAACAGATCAAACAGTCAGAATGGTCTGATGAAACAGCGACGGGCATCAGAACAAAATGTATAATTTAGAAGTAATTTATCCTGACTTCAGCATGAAATAGGCCTGCATTCAGACTGCTAAAAGTAAATAAGTTCCTCTAGGAATTAAAGGTTTTAGGTAGGAGGATTTGTATGAGTTCAAGTGTGCTCTGTGTCAGCTTGAGGTTAAATCTTGCCAACATTAGGTCTGGACCTAGACAGGTGGGAGTACTTTCTACTCTCTTATTTACTCTTCTACCTTTATATTTATTGTATATCATGCAGTCCAATGACACCACAATCTCACCACAAAACACGTTTAAATTCCACAAAAGTACTACATAATCCAGCATGATTATATTGTGCTTTTTTTGGCATTGTGTTTTAACAACATGGCATACAACACCCTCAGATTGCATCATGGAGAGAAAATGTGCCCGGTGCTCAAAATGACAATCAGATCCTCATGTGCAACATGCTCTTTGGCTTTTCATCAAGTTTGTATTCACAGATTTATGCTGTTTTACCTTTGCATAGTTTTGTCTACATGTCTGAAATGACAGGAATGCTGCAAAGGAAATTAAAGTTCCCTGCCTTGGCTGTCTTTAGAAGGGATCAGCTCTGTCCTCTAGCATCAGGTGGTAGGTCCTTACATTCATTATTGCTATAGGCTCCCTAATAGGATTGGATTTGTACTTATAGTGTTGAGTCAACAGGGCTGTTACTGAATCTCATTCACTGAAGCAATTGTCCTCTTCCAACAACTTTCTCCTCTTTGCCTCTTCTCTGGAGTGTCTCTGTTATTGTAGTCCTGTAGGACTCTTTCTCTTTAGGTCTGCATAATGTAACAAGACGAATGTAAGCTCACAGGGGATAAAAGGGTTTTAAAGAATTTACTTTGTTGCAGTAGACTGATCAATTTTAGACTTACGTTTGGCTGAAATATTAGTATTTGAAGGTAGGGTTATGGAAGTGGGGATAACAGAAGCTTGCAAGTAGAAATGGTGGTGTTCTGTGCAGCCGAGTGTTTCTCACTGTTTGCCCAGTCTTCCTCTCACTTAGTGATTCCTTTGATTAGCTTTGAGCTTGTGGGTGGTTGTCCTCCTGGGGGCTCATTAGTTGTAATGACAAGGCCAAGATTTTAAAGTTAGCCAGTCAAAGACATAGTTAGCAGCTAGTATCCACTGTGCCTAATTTCTTAAAACCTTCAGATTGATTGCGACTTATTGATACATCAGGTAGTGCTGTTCCACACAGGGTGACTTCTAAAGAAGCATTTTCTTCCCCTCACTGTAAAAAAAACGAGGAGCACTGCAGAGAACATTGTAAATGCCATCCCTCTACTATGTGCCCCTCCCTTCCGCTCTCTCTGTCTCTTATGTCAATTATGCCTTAGGATTTTGCTCTGGGGTCTCACAGAGCTGACTCTAAACTAGCTGGGAGGGTTGCAAATGACTGCCTTGTTTTAACCTCTATCTGATGGCAGGAAGTCAGCAGAAGCTCATTGAAAGTCACTGGAACTTTACCCTAGGAGAATGTTTGATTGGAGTGATTTGCCCTGAATCTTGGACCTGACAAAAGGTGTTTTTGTCTGTGGTTAAATGGCTCCCTAGAAGTGAAGCAGGGATTAATTATTCATAAAGCGTAAATGGGTTGACATTGGACTGCAGGTCCAATTTAGCGG